GGCCACCCCGCCGCAGCTCCCCAGCCCCCCGGCCCCGATGCACGTTGATGGCCGACTCGATCGCCTGAAAGATCTCGTTGCCTTGCCTGGTCTCAAACTCAAAGTTGCCTTCTCCGGATGCGCAGCGCCGGCCGGCCTCGAAGGAAAAGGTCGCCTGGGGAGGGACAGGATCAGGTCCCCGTTCCGCAGCCCACCACCAGCCCACCCTTCCCGGATCCCACTTACCTTATCCCGCCCAAAGCGCCGCAGGAAGTGGTAGGGCCAGCTGTAGAGGATCTCCAAGGTCTGGAAATCCCGCAGCTCCAGCGCCTCCTCGCCAGCTCGCAGGATGCACTGGCCCCAGAGCCGGCAGCGCTCAGAGGGCTCGGTGGCCCTCACCGTCACCTTGAACGCCTGCTCCAAGCTGGCTGGGGACGAAGGAGGGCGGCATTTGACACGCGCGAGGAGCAGAGCTCCTCGCTGCAAGAGCAGAGCTGCATCTCCCACCACAGAGAGGTGCCATGGGGCTCGTGACGCCCCGCTGCCCCGGCTGCGGGGAAGCGGCGTCCGGCCGATAAGGGCTCAAGGGCTCCGGTCGCACGGGAGCAGCCCGATAGCGCAGCGAAACCCAGCCCTGCCAAACCGCAGAGCAGGAAGAGGCTATTTCAGGAGGAGACTTTCCACCGCGCCGCCTGCACGTAGCCGCGGCGGGGGCTGCTCCCTGGCGCAAAACCGGCCAAGGTTCCTCGGGAAGCGGGGGTGACGAGATGCTGCGGGACATGCTCTGCCTCCTGTGCCAGCAAACCCAGCTCCACTGCACCTTCCCCACCTCCCGGTGCCTACCTTTGCCCCGGGAGCTGTAGAGGGAGTTTTCCTCCATGGAGAACACGCCGTCGGTGCCCAGCAAGCTCTGCTGGCCGTCCTTGCCTGCTGCCTGCTCCTCCCTGCTCCTCTGCCCCGGGAAAGAGCAGCGAGTGAGCGAGGGTGGAGGACGGCATCCCCCCAGCCTCCCCCAGTGCAGCAAACCCCCGGGATTCCCCCGCACGGATCCTGCTGTCTCCCGTGCCCCCGTTATCCCTGTCCAGTGTGTACCGGGAAGGCAAGCTCGCACAGCTTCTGGATCCAGCCGGCCGCCTCGGTGCCATCAGCGGCCAGGAGGTACCGCTTGTCGGTGGTCTCCAGCAGGAAGGGGACAGTCTCCTTGGGGCAGCCGGCATCGCCACTCGCCTCCGCCACGTGCACGCAGTCGCTCAGCTTGACCAGCCGCTTGCCGCCCTCGCCTTCCCGCAGCTTCTCGGCGGCCGGTGGCGCCGAGCCCTCGAAGAGCTCCAGGTGGGCGGTGGAGCAGGAGCTTTCCCGGTACAAGACTCCCCAGAACTTTCGCCATTTCTGCCACGGGGAGAAGCAGCAAGAGGAGTGAAAACCCCGCACTGGCCAGCTCTCCTTTCACCCTTCCAGGAGTTTTCATCCCCTTGGGATCACGCATGAGCCCGGGGCAGGACATCGGAGCGAACCCCTCCAGGGTCCGGGCAGGGTCTCGCAACCTCGCCCAGGCGGGGCTGGCCAAAGCGGAGGGGGGGGTGAGATAAACTGGTCAGCGTGGGGAAAAGCATCCCCCCCACACACAGCACAGCCGACGGCCTGCAGCAAGGCTTTCCCAGCCGGGAGAGGCACCGGGAGCATCCCAGCCTCACCCGGCGCCGGGATCCATCCCACGCCTCCCCCACCCTGCGGCACCCAAACGCTGCGCC